CACTCAGGAATTACGCCTGGCAGTGCTCGGGGGACCATATGGGATGCTGGGAATTGAACCCGGGTCAGCCATGTGCAAGACAAACGCCCTATCCACTGTGCTCTCGTTCCAGCCCCATCATTAAATTTTTATCCTGAAATTGCAAAGCCTTTGCACTTAATAAACTTAATATCCTGAAGAATTTAATTTTGAAAAAAAGCTCTGCTTCATAAAAATGAAGATTTTGCTCCATTTATCTATTTTTAAAATGCAAAGCTCTGTATGTTTTTTCCTTTAGTTGATAAGGTTGATGTTAGTTTGATAAAAATAAATATCATCACAGAATACTCTGAACTAAGTAAGGAGAATCAGATCTAAACGTTGCTTCCTTTTCTGTTTCTTCTAGTGGAAACTGCTTTTGCTGTATTTATTTTCTATGGATGAATCTGCCTGTAGCTTTCTCAGATGACAGAAAGAGGGGTTCTGAAATGTTCCTACTTATGGTCTCTCCATACCCTTTTTCTGTCTTACCTTCTATGTCCTTCACTCTTTGTTTGATTCTGAATATTGTAAATCCTATGCTGAGAGATATTTAGAAATGATTTTCTTTGCTTATTATGTTCAGGTAACGTCATATTCGAATCACCTGAAAACATTAGTTTTCAGGTCCTCAGAAAGAGAATTCCACAGCTGTTTCAGTTGCTCCTGAGTGCGCTGCACCCGTGTTTGGAGTTGAACCCAGCTTCCTGCATGCAAAACATGCATTCCACCCCCTCGCACCATCTCCCAGCCCCTTACAGTTTTGTCTTTGACAGTTTCATTAACTATATTCTCTGATAAACTTTACTTCACAAAGCTATAAAAGTATTTTTTAAAAAATTGGTCTGGGGGCTGCACTTGGCAATGCTCAGGGGTTACTCCTGGCTCTATCCTCAGGGATCACTCCCAGCTCAGGGGACCTTGTGGATTGCTGGGGATCAAATTGTGTTGGCCACATGCAAGTCCAGTGCCCTGCCCACTGTACTACTGCTCCATCCCAAAATACTGCTGTTTACAATAAAATTTATGTAAAGAATTTTATAGTGGAGGTAACATAAAGGATTTTATTTCATGGTAAAATTGGCTTTGTATCAGAAAATCTAAGAAACATTCAGTCAATTCTTTGTTCACTCATTCAGAGCTCCTTTGAGTAGGGCCTATGGCCACACCCCACGCTGCTTGAAGGTCATCCCCAGTGATGTTCTGAAACTATTGGTGTTGGGGGATCAAATCCAGTACCACGACATAAGACATATGTGTGCTAGACCATGAAACTGTCTCCCCAGCCCTTCATTTAGAGCTTTTGGCAAATAGGAATAGATGAAATGTGCCAGTGGGGGGGGGGGGGGGGGGAAGTATTTGATCATAGTGAAATATAAGGAAATAATTTAGAATTAGGAGAAAGGTGAAGATTCACATTCATTTACTTACCAGCATATGTCTGATGCTTTTAGCAAGTGAAATATGACAAAATATAAAAATGGAAAAGTACTGTTTTGTATAATTTAGCTGTCTATAGTGAAAAAAAAGAATACACACACACAGTCAATAAAATTTGCAGGCATCTACCACATTTGTAAGGTAAGAAACTCATAAAGAAAAACAATCTGTCAGCTTTTCTATCAACAAGAGGAAATTGTAGGGTTTGGGAGAAAAGTTAAAGAGTAGAAACCTGTGGGTTGCTTGCGTTTGCCTTGGTTTGGTTCTTGGCACAGCATCTTCCTCCAGACCCCACTGGGAACAGTCCCCCAGCAGCTGATCCAGGAGTGGTCCCCCCCGCCCCCTGTACTATCAGGTGTAGTTGAAAAACAAAGAGGAAAACAAACTTTTTAAATTTAAGATTTAAAAAGTTATTTAAGAATTTATTTAAGAAATGTAGCAGGAGCCAAAAAAGAGACTGCAATTCACTAGGAGTGGGAAAATTGGACATTGCATGTTTTCAGATGTGAGACAATGTGAAGTATACAGCATGGAATCTTTGAAGACTGATTTTCAGTATTCAAAATAAAGGTGTGGGGGGTAGTGGGAGGGCCTTGAAGGTGTGGGGGACAGACTCGGGATAAGCAAGTTAATTTACACCATGAAAAAACACGGTGACCATGTTCTTCATAACTACCTCAGTTATCATAGGGCCTTTACCCTTTATATAAGAATTTCAGAATTGGCCAATCAAATATCATAAAGCCAGCTAATAACTAACTCATCAGACAAACATCCTGTTCACTAAGGCTCCAAAATGTCAGTGATGAGGCTGGAATGATAGTAAAGCCGGTAGGGTGCTTTGCCTTGCATATAACCAACCAGGTTTCAATTCCTGGCACTCCATATGTTCCCACCTCAGCCACTCCAGGAATGATTCTTGGCTGCAGAGTCAGGAGTTAGCCCTGAGTTCGGCCTGGTATGGCTCCAAAACAAAACAAACCAATGACAAAATGTGATTTATTTTCAGAACTGACTCAATTTCTATAATAACACAGTGACATTTTTAAAAAAGAGAGGATATGAAAGGCATAGGACAGAAAAAATGTATTGATGAATAGCTACTTGAAGGATTTAACAAACACAGTGTTGTGGCAAGCAAAATAACTGTAAGGCAGTTTGTTTTGAGACAGCTGAGACATCTGAATATGGAGGGGATGTCATATGATAATTGTCATGATCACTATCCTCCCGTTGTTCATCGATTTGCTCGAGCAGGCCCAGTAATGTCTCCATTGTGTGACTTGTTGTTACTGTGTTTGGCATATCGAATACGTCATAGGGAGCTTGCCAGGCTTTGCCGTGAGGGTGAAGTACTCTCAGTAGCTTGCCCAGCTCTCCGAGAGGGGTGGAGGAATCAATCCTGGCTCGGCTGGGCTGGCTGCGCGCAAGGCAAATACCCTACTGCTGTGCTATTGCTACAGCCCCATGATAACTATATATTCTTAATATTTCCATTGTTGAAAAAAGTAGTTTTGTTGGTGAATTTCATATAAAAATGTATAATGTCATGGTCTCTGGAATTTAAAGTGATAGCAAAACAGATAGGGCCCCAGGGAATATAATAATGCAAGCCTTTTATTGGAAAAGTGTTTACTTTGTTCAAAACCTATTAAGGAGAATGAAATAACTAGAGATACATGTAATGTTAATTAATTGAAAAATTCAAGAGTAAGAAAGCATCATTTCCCGAAATGATACAGAGACTCAAGGCAGTTTCAATCAAAATTCCAGAAGGCTGGTCTCACATTTTGGTTGGTTAGTTGATTGCTTGGAGGCTGGCTGCCTGGCTTGGACAGGGCAGAGTGAACAGGATGTTTGTCTGATGAGTTGGTTATTAGCTGGCTTTATGATATTTGATTGGCCAGTTCTGAAATTCTTATATAATGGGTAAAGGCCCTATGATAACTGAGGTAGTTATGAAGAACATGGTCAGCAGGCTAGACCTAGAAATTGAGACGTACTACAGAGTCTTGTATAGATTTGGCACAAAAACAGCCAGAAACTGCCAGAGTCAAGAATCTTACAACAGGCATACAAGTGTATAGAAACTTGAACACAAATGCTGTGTGTCTTAAGTTTTACTGGGAAAATTATCAGTGAATGTAAAAAGTGAAACTTAATTCTTCACCTTTTACCATACCTCTAAATTGAAATGATATCTTTGCCTCATAGCATATACCGTTAGTTTCAGGTTAACTTATAATTTCAGTGTGAAAAACTAAATTTCACAACTTTTAGTGGAAAATCCTCATGGCTTTGATTTGGAACTGACTTTGTGAAAAAGTCATAAAATTGCAAAACAGAATGGAAATGATAGATTGATGCATTTGAAATCACTTTGTTTTGTCTTGTTTTTGGATTATACTTGAGATGCTCAGGGGTTACTTCCAGTCACGCCTGGCAGTGCTGGGGGACAAATGGGATCCTGGGGATCGGAACTGGGTCGGCCACATCCAAGGCCAGCACCCTTCCTATGGTACTCTCTCTCCGGCCCCAAAACAGTTTTTCACCTGTTCAGTTGTACCCTGCTTCAGTTGTACCCTGCTTCAGTTGTACCCTGAAGCAAAAGAATGATTTGTTAGATTGAAGGGAAATACTTTTTGTAGCATAATAGGCAAGAGTTATTATCTAGAATATATAAAGGATGGCTATAAATCATTAAGAAAAATTTCTGAATTGAACAGTTGAGGGTAGGGTTCCAGGACTCAGGATAAAGCTTATGCCTTGCTAATGCGATGCCCTGGACTCCATCCCTAGCACCGAAAGTAAGGAAAAAGGCAGAACACCCACCACCAATTTTATGTGAAATAAACAGGGATAAGAAAACTACATTATATTTATTGATCATTGCGCCTCAGACCATTTTGACTGGAAAATATTTCATGGCATGCTTACACTACAGTTTGTTTATTCATTTGTCCATTAAAAGCATCTGGAATATATACATTGTTTATTTATTTTGAATAAAATTGCTCAATAAAGGTTAACATGCTCAAAAGATGAAGTTTAGTAATAAGCTTTATATATACATTTATATATGCATTTACATATGTAAATGTATGTATTTGTAAACTTTATATATATATATATGTAAACTGAATGAATATCCACAGATACAGCAAAATGTATTTTAAACACAAAATTTAGGGTCTAGGTTATTCTTTTCTTACTGTAGAGGAAGTGAATTAGCATAGGATGAGATATATAAAGAGCTTCAGAATCTTATGTATTCTGTGCTTAAGGATTCCCAGGTCTTTGTGTCATTATTTAAATTTGTATACATATATATTACAAATTTTTGAATTTTGGAAATATTTACTTACAGTAAAATTAGAGTTGTATTACAGACTCATTTTTTTAATCAGCCGTTCTACTATTTCATATTGATGTTAGAAGATTATATATATACACACATATGTGTATATATATATTTTTTCGGTATAGGGGGTTTGGGACCACACCCAGCAGTGCTCAAGGCTTACTCCTGGCTCTGTCCTTAGGGATTACTCCTGGCAGGGTTTAGGAGGACCACATGGGGTGCCAGGGATCAAACCCAGGTGAGCTGCTGTCAAGGCAAGCATCCTACCCACTGTACTATCACTCTGACCCCAGTTTCCATGGTTTAAATTTTTCATAATTTTATATGTTTGTATTTTTGTATATCTCTCATTTGTTTTCTCTTCTTCTTTGAAACTATTCCATGCTTGTCTTTTCTTTTAAACGCTTCCATTGTGTTTCATTAAGTACCTGATAAATACATATTCCAGCCACTTCTTCATTGTTGACACCCTGCTGCCACTGGTACGAAAGCATTTTCCAGTGTCAAAGCAGTAGTTTGTCAGCAGTGATTCTTTGTTGTCTTTCAGCTCTTTCTTGATGTCAGTCATGGAAGTCTGAAAAGAAGTACGTTCTTTTATGTATGAAAAACTTGATTTGTTTTCTCCCTCCTATCAATAGGCAAGTGAAAGACCAGAATAAGAAGGTTGCAAATCTGAAGCACAAGGAACAGGTGGAAAAGAAGAAGAGTGCGCAGATGCTGGAGGAGGCCCGGCGGAGGGAGGATAATCTCAACGACAGCTCCCAGCAGCTCCAGGTTAGGATGCAGGGAGGTCCAGAACGGATCTGGCGAAGAGATGGGACCTGTAACTGCACGTGATTTTTCTCTACTTCCTTATCTCCTCTTTTTCCTCTTTCTAACCCCGCTTGCTGCCTTCCTAGCAGACTAACTGATAAGCAGTAAAGGAATGGCTTTCAGTAGAGAAGGCCAGTTTTATTCCACAGCTTTGGGAGGAATCCCAGCAGAGAAGGAAGATCATCGTGCTGCCTCTTCATCCACACGCAGTGGTAAGTTGAATGGCAGTTCAATAAACGGATTCGGAGACCCTTCAAGGTAGTCAGCATAGCCATTTGCCAGTTTCCTGAATGAAAGTACATGGTTTATTCTGTTTGTTGGCTGTTTGCCACGCATTTTTCCCCTCATCTTACCCTTCCCTTCTTCCCTTTCTTCCTTCCCTTCCCTGCCCTCTCCCCTCCCCTTCCTTCCCTTCTCCTTCCTTCCCTTTCCTTCTTTTTTCCTATTCTTCTCTTCTATATTTTTCCTCCCTTTTCTTTTTTTTTCTGTTTACACTTACCAAAAAAAAAATCACATTTTACCTAGGTTGAAATAAACTATGAAAAATGGATTTTTTTCCACCAAAAAAAAAGAAAACCCCAACATATGTCCTTATTATTCCTGGATAAGCCATAAAACATTTTGTAGGGTTTTTGTAGTTTTTGCTTATTAGTCAAGATGAGGGCAGTACCATTTATTTTATTGCTTTGGGGGGAGGAGGGACTGCATTTGGCAGCCATACCCAGCTTGCTCAGGGTCTGCTCCAAGCTCTGTTTTCAGGGGCTGTTCTTGGTGGTGATCAAGGAACCATCTGCAGTGCCAAAGATTTGAACCAGCTACAGCTACCACAGCAGCATGCAAGGCAAGTGCCTTGCTTTGCAGTCTCTCTCATACCCCTTTTCTGTTTTAGAAAGATTCATTTTGAGAGCATATGCCATAGACACACAGTTTGTATAAACTAGACTGTTTTAATTCACTTAAGTGATCACCGTTATGTCAACCTAATTATTCAGAGATCTATTTTTTGACAAATATTTTCATTTTATTAGCAAAGAATTAGCTTTGAAGCAAAGGCATATCATTTTCAAAACTGTCCAAATTAAGGAAATTTATCACCTGTTATTTCAACTTCAGTTTATTCAAAGGAAATATTGAATTAGTTGGAAAGAAAATTTAAAATGAACAGCAGTGTTCTTCTAAAAAGTGTTTTTCTCTAGTTTTTGAGGCAAATGTGCATAATGCAGTCTATTGCTATTTAAATCTTCTGCAGATTGACTCATATCCCAAAAATAAAATCATTATAGATAAAATCACTGTTGTGTTATGAATTTGGAACATGAAATCTCATTCTTTTCTGGCTAAGTTTTCTTTTCCTTTTCCTTGGAGCTTTAACTTATTCATATGCAATTTGGAAATTGGTGAGAAAAATGTAAATCATCATGCTATTTTTACAATATTTTGTTTATTGAAGCAGTGATTATTGAATCAAAATAATTAGGCAAAAGTCCTTTTAAATGAAGAAAATTTGAAGTGAATTTTTACTTCAGAAAATCTTGATAATAAACTCTGTCAGTCACTGATGGTTTTCAGAGACACAGTATCCTTGCATTCATTGACTTTTTTTTATTGAATCACCATGAAATAGACAATTACAAAGCTATTCATGATTGGGTTTCAGTCATACAATGTTCCAACACCCCTCCCTTCACCAGAGAACATTTCCCACCATCAGTATCCCCAGTTTCCCTGCCACCAACCCCTACTACCCCAGCCTGCCCCTGTGCAGGCAACTTTCTTCTCTCTCTCTCTCTCTCTCTCTCTCTCTCTCTCTCTCTCTCTCTCTCTCTCTCTCTCTCTCTCCTTTTGTGCATTATGCTTTGCAATACAGGTACTAAGAGCATTGTGTTTGTCCAGGGTGTTCAATATTTTTATCGGGAAGGGACAGCTGGCATAGCTTTTTTTAACTGGGTGGTGACTTTGGGGTGTGCACGATTGCCAGGGCTTCTGAAAGCACAGGGAGATGCGGGGAAGTAGCCCATCCCAACCCCAAGAAATCCTGTAGATTTCTGTCACAAAACCTGTATACCTGGATTTTCAGCAGGTGACTGTCTCAGTGAGGTCCATCCCAAGAGAGTGGAGCCTGCTGGATTGTGGGAGCAAGCATCTGCCCCAGGTTCCGCTTGGGCAGGCACTGGGCTGACCCGCTCCCCTCCAGTGTACCCCAGTCTGTTCAGCCTTGTGTGAGTCCGATATAAAATGTGGGTTTTGATCTCTTTTGAGATTTACTTGTGAGTCTATGAAGCAAGGCCAATAAATGATTTGTGTGGCTGAGCTGGAGGTGGTATGTGGGTCTGGCTTCCACTTACCTTACTTTTGGTAGTTTTAATTTCTCAGAAAACTTGGTCCTTAGTTGTTGGAGTCTGGCCAGGTCACAGCAGGTGATTTGAGCATGTCAGGAAGCCTGGGGGTACCTTGGGCTTCAGACACATTCACCCTGCTGGTCTACTGGTTGCACCACAGCCTCTGTCTCCAGTGACAGTGGCAGCAGTGGAACTGTCAGGGCACAGGACAGGGACCAGGGCTGCTACCATGTGGGACTGGGTGCCTGGGTTGGCTGCAGCCACTAGTCCAGCAGAACCTGAACCAGGTGCACATGCCCCCATCCTGGGTCTCCAGGCAGTTGGTAGTCAGGCAGGTTTTCCTCCATAATATTCTGTGTGCGGCGTGGGCTGCTCTGGGGAAGAAATGGTGGTGGGGCCCCATGGTGGGACCCCATGGTGGGAACCCTGGGTGCCCCTCAGCTCTGGGACCTGTGCTCTGAGGTGGTGCCATGTTGGACCCGAAGAGCCCGATTCAGTAACTTTGAAACTCAGCTGCACCCGTAACGCTGGGAGGCCAAAGGCTGTGGTAGTTCCACCAGCTGTTGGCCATCTGCCACCATCCTTACGAGTCCCACTCCCGGTGGGTGCTCTGTGGTGGGCTTTCCCTGAGACAACATCCAAGAAGTGCCCACATTCACTCAGAAACATTGGCTGTCCAGAGTGCTGAGAGCTGCTGTCCCTCGGCCACCTCTGACACTGCCTCAGTGCCGCCTCTGTCTTGATCAGAACTCCCAGGGATGAATTTAAACCAGGCCCATCTGACAGTAGCAGCAGCACTCCTGTAGTAAGTTAGCTCTGTGCCAGTTTCACTTGGTTCTGGTGGTTCACATTACTAACCTTCACAGTAAGTCAGTGGCCTGATGGTTTTGCACAGTTGTTAGAAGAGGAAACTAGACTTAGAGTCACGAACTACTTTACATGTATACAACTTTCTAAGTGGCTCAGCCGTGATTTCAATGGAGACTTCCTGGACCTACAACCGATCAGTGATTTTTGCTTTAGAGAAGAGTACCAGAAACTTGTTGGCAGGCTCTGAGATTCCAGCTCGGGCTACTAATCTGTTGTCCTATTATTTTTCTCTGGTCACAACTTCTGATTGAGTATGATTGTATGTTTATCCTGCAATGAGGCCATTTTTAAACTCTGTGACAAATTCATTTCAGACATAAAGGTATACTTTCTTAATTTTTTAATTCCTTTTAATCCCAACTTTTGCTGATTATAAAATCTACTCTTATGTTAGAAACAGTTTATATTTCTGCATATACATCAGCTCTTGATAAAGCAGTATGTTAATTTTCTCTTCTCCTTTGCCAACAAATTAATACTGACAACATCCTGTTCTGCTCCCTCTTTCATAGGATGGCAGGCTAATAGATGACAAAGCAGTTTATTTTGTTTTATTTTTTTTCTCATTACCACTGAAACAGACTACTTTTTCATGCCTTGAAGGAAAAACCATGTCCAGGGCTGGGCAGATAGCTCAAAGGGCCAGAGTGCATGCTTTGCACGCAGGAGGCGAGTGTTAGATTCCGGCCATCTCACCACCCTGAGTACCACCCGGTCTCCTGAGCACACTGAGTGTGACACAAAAACAAATAAAGTAAGAAAACATGCACAGACTTCGTCCCTAACTTTAGTTTTACTCGTTTGTAACAGTACTGTAATGTGTGTTGGAGGGTAGAAGGCGCACCTGGCATTTGAACTTGTGACAGTCCATTTGTAAAGCAGATGCTTTAGACTTGCTCTTTTTCTTTGGGTCCTGTATTTTGTTTTTAGAAAACATTTAAGTCAGTTAGAGTCATATGTTTTCATTGTACTGCTGATGTTAGGAGCGATAGCACAGCGGTAGGGCGTCTGCCTTGCACGCAGCCAACATGGCCGACCCGAGTTCGATTCCTCCGCCCCTCTCGGAGAGCCCGGCAAGCTACCGAGAGTATCTCGCCCGCACGGCAGAGCCTGGCAAGCTCCCCGTGACATATGCGATATGCCAAACACAATAACAACAAAGTCTCCAATGGAGATGTTACTGGGCCCGCTCGAGCAAATCGACGAACAACGGGAGGGCCTTTACCTTTTTACCTTAATAGAATCCAAAGGTCAGCACTTAAAAACATTTTTCAGTTTCATAAAGTTGTTTACAATAATTGATTACATTCAATATTTCAGCACCAATTCCACCACCATTACACACCATTATCTCAAATTTTCTCACCACCACTAAAGCCTGCCCCACCGGTAGGTGCTAAATAATTTATTTTGTATTGCTTGTTATAAATAGTATAGGATGTCACACAGCTGCAAAAGTGGCCATGCGCTCCTGGGTATTTAAAACTTTAAATTATTGGGGCCTGGAAATATCTCTGTGGTGAGCTGCTGTCTTCCGAGATTCATTTGTGAGTCTCTGAATCATGGTCATTAATATGCTTAAATGGCACCTGGAGGCCGTTCATGGGCATGACGACCAGGACACTTGATGGGAAGGTAGATGGGGAGGGACAACCCATACCCGCCTCCTTGTGGCCTGGAGTTTTCAGTGACTGTTCCGCGTACCTGGAGGTTTGTGGCCGCCAAGGTTCATTTGTAGTAGGCGGAGAGAGA